CGAGGAACTGATCATGCAAGGTTTTTGTGAGCATAGTATCCTTCCTGTAAGGATCATTTCTGAGAACTTACATGTGGTGCCATTTTCGCCTCGCCCTGTTCTGGTATGTCCCTGCAAGTTTCGGTACATCGCAGCATATGTCGTCTGCAGGAATTTTTCTTCGCGGCATTATTCTGCCTGAGGCTAAATTTCGCGTTACCCTTCCTCAAACCACCAAGGGTTGATCGCCTCAGCATTTGCGATTTCCGTTTGAAAGCTACATCACATTGCAGCATTTTTTTCAAACCCGATCGACAATTTGTTTCTTCATTTTACTTTTATCATTTGTTCGCATCAGCCTTTCGAGAATGCTGTGAAGCAGTTCGTCTTGCAATTTTAGACGGAACAGTTCCTAGACTGTACTTGTTGTGTTCCCCAGCAGGACAAGGCGTCAATCTTTATCTTACGCTACCTCCATGACTTGCATGGAATGATACGCATTCGTGTTTGTTTTCCGTCGTGCGAGGGAAGTAGAGTACTGTACAGTATATGAGTTTCGCGTTGCACTTTCATTTATATCGCAATCACGTGAGGAGGTGTTGTTGCGAAGGCTATATTCGTTATCAGAGATCCTTGCAGTGCTGCCTGAGAGTTGATTCCCCAATCACGAGTCGTATCGTCAAGGACTACCGGGTACTCGATTTTATGTTTACTCGATATAAATCCCCGCTTGTCGTTATCATCTTGGCCTTGAGCACGCCGGGCAGGGCTGACTGGGAGACAAATGACAGTGGACCAATCTTCAAGCCAGGGTATCTGCTGGGTGCGTTTAAATGATACAAATGGATTCCAAGTTCCAGGGCACACAGAAGACTACAAAAATATGTAGAGATCCTCTATGAAGGAAATGTTTCCCGAAAACAACATAAATTTGAGGAAAGAAAATACTGAAAATAAAAGACCCCCTTGGATATATAAACGCTAGAATGACCCCGTTCATTGGCTACGCGGGCGGATTCTCCAAGAAATAAACGGATAATCAAAAGAAACGTCAATATGAAATACCAAATTTTCGAAAAAGTGGTGATCCAAACATATCAACAATATGACTTGAAATCGTTTTTAATATATTTTCGACTCGCCTCATTTAACAAACTGTCTTTTTTCATGTACCACGTTTCTTTAACTGGAGTAGAAGAACTTTTTTTCAATAATTAAAAAATCAACAAGACTAAATCAGGCATACACGTGTGTATGCCTCACAGACTCTCTCAAGATTGAACATGAGAATTTTGGCATGAATTCACTGTGTCATTGATTCCTTCAAAGAAAGTCATGAAACAAACTCGCCATGAATACATTTTCCAATTCCAAGAAACTGAAATCTAAATAGAATGCATAGTATATAATTCAAAGACTACTTTCTTCCATCAAACCACAAGGAAAGATTCAGCTAAATCTGCTCCTTTCTTGCAATGTCCCTCTTGTCCATTCATAGCTAATGGAAATGTGCATCAGTTTCCAAAATAAGAAACATGAGGGTGTCTCTGAGCATTCCCAGCATAAATAAGTTATTACAGGTAGGGCTGTGTGTAACAGCTAAGCACAACTTCATGCATTTGTTATGCATAACTGTTACACCCAGCTTCTTCTGCTATGCCTTGACAATTTCCATGGTCTTTCATGGGTGATGTAAGAAAAAATTGCTGCGCAATTCATTGGGAATGCATTTGTTGTGCATTCTATTGTTATGCCTAGAATTTAAAAATTCAGGGTGCACTTTCCTTCAGTGTAGCAGGCAGTGTAGTGCAATACCTGCCTGCTACAGTCAATAAAAATGATTTTTTTCTGCTTTTCTTCAGTGTAGCAGGCAGCATAATGCAACACCTACCTACTTCAGTCAATAGAAACAATTTTATCTGCTTTTCTTGGCCATAGCCAATGTATTGAAACATCAGCTTGCTACAGTCAATAAGAAACGCAGGCATACTGAAACATAATTTTGTTACAGAATAATACTCTGGTAATACTGCAACAAACTAAAATTTTCCTGCAATACTGCAACAAACCGTGACAAAATTGTGGTGCAGTTTGTTGTGCGTATATATTCTGTTGAGGTAAACAGTAGACTGCAACATAATTTTGTCACATCAGTATATATCCCATGACATAACTTAGTCACAGCATATACAGTAGTTTGTGATAGTACATTATATAATACTGCAGCATCTGTGGGATATATCATGATATTATATACTAAGATACTGTATTGCAATACTGCAGCTTTTGGCATGGTATATATCATGACATGATTTTGCAGCAGTATATAATACTGTGGTATATAATGCAATATTATATACCATGGTATTTGTCACAATACAGTATATTCCATTGTGGTATTCTTGTGATACCTTGAAAATTTCAAATAAATTCACAATTTCCAATGCAGCAATGGCTAATACTGTGCCACAATGCCAGATACTGCATCACCAAAAAAAACAACAAAGACTCATAATATTTATATATAAAACACTGTATCATTGTTTGTTTGCTTGGCACAGTTGATATGACTGTGGGCTCAAGAAATGTGGGTGTGTGTGTGTGTGTGTGAGTGTGTGTGCATGCTTGTATGTGTAATGTGTGCAATGTGCATATTGTGTCCAGTCAGTGTTGTCGAGGAGATTTCTTGATGCTGTAATTTCCTTTGTTGCAGTATTTTTGATGCCACAGTTACTGCTACAGAGGTAACCATGACAAAAAATACTACAACAAATACATATTTAATGTGACAAGTTTTTCTTTGAAATGCATATCTTTATGCCTTTCCAACACACAATCTGTCCTATTCTGGCATAACTTAAGTTACACCAGTTTCTTATTCAACCATAACAAGCAGGCATTACAAAATGCCTGCCTACAAAGCAAAAGTCCCAAGTAGGCATAACACAATAAGCATGGCAGCTTGGGCATGAAATGCATTAGCCATGCATTTTGCTGGACCAAATTATTTGCTGGGTTTGGAAAGAAATTCAAGGCATCAGGAAAAATTCAAGAACTTTTCAAAAATATTTTAGAAAAGTTCCTCAGACCCAATAATGTATAGGCACATGTATGCTCACAAGGTCTATGTTGCAGAATTCAATGCAGCATTCATGAATGGCTCAACTAGCTTTGTTTAAGTCACTGTTGCACCACAAGCTTGGGCACCAGTGAGACACAAATCTCAGGTGCAAGTTTTACAGTGAATTGAAAATTCAAATCACTCAAGAAAATTCGGTTTAAAAAAATGAGCATAGTTCAAGATTTGCCACTTGAATCAGTTTTGATGTGATTACAAAAAAAGTTGGGAAACATGCTGCAGAGCTTGAATTTGGGATCAGGTAGAAGACTGTACCTTATTTCTGAAATGCAATTCCGTTTGCAGAGATGAAAGTGATTGAATCATTTGCAAAAAGTTTTCCCTAGCAATGCAAGTAATTTTGTTGTCTGCAACCTCAAGTCTCAAGTTGTGAGTCTAGAGTGAACATCCAAACCAAGAGGAGACTCTTCATTTTTCTTTCTAAGGAGAACTGCAAAAATACCAAATTTCTGCTCCAACACTTGGTTTTTCCTTAAATTTGGAGCAGTTCAATTTGCAGCAGGTATAGAAATGAAAGAAAAAAACAATCCACTCCAAGGGGTCATGCGTGTGACTCTTTCTTCGGAGCTGGCGATGTAAAACCTTGGGGCAAGCTGTTGGTATCGAAGGCAGCTGGGACAGCAACCCACACACTGTATGGGGCATACAATATTGATCCTTCGAGATGACAAACCAACATTTTTTTGGATTCAGTAAAAGTTGGTTCAGAGTTGCTGGCCCGTACTCCAATCTTTGATAACTCTTGGAGAACAGCTTCTCCAATTGAGTTCAAGTGGAATAAGAGCTAAGCTATCTCTGGAAGGCCATTCCCCTTATCACAAAAGGTGAAACTGATGTTGATACTTCAATGGAGCCTTTTGTACTGTGATCCACATTTTTGTTGAGAAATAATGGAAGAAGTTTCTCACGAACTGGATATGGAGATTCTAATAATTAAAAGGCTTCCAGTCAAACAATCTACATATAAATGAAAACAGATTTTTCAAATATCTTGAGAAATTTTACACAATGTCCTATTTTGGTGCTGCTGGGACATCAGACTTTGATGATACAATAAAATCTCATTACAAGAAACTCCTGGGGACCTGTTGAAAAATTTGTTAAAATTAAAAATGTGTTGTATTGAGATTCTTGGTTTTGAACATATTTTAGACTAACATTTTGTGTGAAATGGGCAATATTTACCTTAAATTGTGTCTGAAACAAATCATTCAGAACTTCTATTAATTAGTGAGGGCAATTTTGATGAAATAAGGTAAAACTTTTCAAATAAATAGTAATTTCCTTTCATTAATCATTTAAACCAGCCTTCAAATAAAGAAATGTTGCTTTTCTTGAAAAATAAAATGAAACAAAATTAAATGTAGTAGAATTACTGCACTTCCCACTGAGTAATGCGCACATCCACTCATACCATTCTGTCTGCTCTATGAAATGAAGGCAATTTTTTTATGTGCTGTTCATTTCAAAGAAAGGCATACTTTCTAAAATGGTGCTGAAGAATTTCCAAGAAATGTTAGATTTTGTGCATTTTTGTAACACCAATAAGTTTTCTCTACAGAATTTTTTTTAATGAATTTGGCATGCTGTATGTTTAAAATATTTCCAAGCTTTCTGCTATTTATTAAGAATTTTTATGAACCCTGTACCCAGCAAAGAATGGGGGCGTTGGGCGGGGGAACGTTTTGACATTGGCGTTGGCAACGCCGTTGCAGCGCCATTGTCTCATTGGGGCTGATTGCCTCCAACGCCCTTTTCTTTATTGATGTTGGGGGCACGCAATGAGAAGGCGCTGTCAATGGCATTCTCCCAACGTTGTGAAAAAATGACGATTTGTAAGTGGCGTTGGCAGCACCTTGGCAATGCATATTAAAATCGTAATTTAGAAAATTTGGGAGAGGCCGTTTTCAGTGGCATTGCAGAATCCCTTCTGAATGCGTTGACAACGGGTGCCATTTGCATTTGCGTTGGTGATTGCATTGGGAATGCGTTGACAATGGGAAGGCAAGTGATTATGCTGCAGTAAAATAAATAAGGGGATTTCATTTGAAATTTTAGAATGATTGAAATAAATGAGAATAAATCAGCAAAAGTATAATGCTGAAGGAATATATTT